TTGCTTTGTTGCCAGGTGCCAGGCTGGAGTGCAGTGGCGCGATCTCGGCTCACTGCAACCTCCGCCTCTCGGGTTCAAGCAATTCTCCTACCTCAGCCTCCCAAGTAGCTGGGATTACAGGTGTGTGCCACCACACCCAGCTAATTTTTGTATTTTTTAGTAGAGATGGGGTTTCACCATGTTGGCCAGGATGGTCTCGATCTCTTGACCTCATGATCCACCTGCCTCAGACTCCCAAATTGCTGGGATTACAGGCATGAGCCACCGTGCCCAGCTTAATATATATATATATATTTTTTTAACAGAGTTTTACTCTGTCACCCAGGTTGGAGTGCAGAGAAACTGTCTCAGCTCACTGCAACCTCCACCTCACAGGTTCAAGCAATTCTGCCTCAGCCTCCTGAGTAGCTGGAATTACAGGCACCTGCCACCATGCCTGGCTAATTTTTTTTTTTTTTCCCAGTAGAGATGGGGTTTCTCCATGTTGGCCAGGCAGGTCCCAAACCCCTGGACCTCAAGTGGTCCAGCCTTCTCAGCCTCCCAAAATGCTGGGATTACAGGCACGAGCCACGGCACCAGTCTAGCATAATATTTTTGAGGTTTATTCTTGTAGTATATTTTGGGGCATCATTCCTTTTTATTGGCAACAGTATTCTTTTAAAAATAAAAGGATGGATGGCATCTTCCTTATCCTCTCACCACGTGATAGACACTTGGGTTCACTGTTTCTCTGTGAATGTTTGAATAGGACCCTGGGTGGGGACATGTTTTCACTTCAGTGAAATTCCACCGAGGAGCAGAGTTGCTGGGTCATATGATAAATTCAATTTAAGTTTTTAAGAAGTTGCCAAACTGTTTTCCAAAGTAACTGTATGATTGTTTATTCCTCTCAGCAGGGTGCTGTTTCATTTTCAGATATTTGTGGATTTTCTAGGTTTTCTTCTATTGTTGATTTTAACTTAATTCCACTGTGGTCAGAGAATGTATGAACATATTTTGTGTTTTTATTTTTATTTTATTATTTTTGAGATAGAGTCTCGCTCTGTCACCCAGGCTGGAGTGCAGTGGCGCCATCTCAGCTCACTGCAACCTCCACCTCCCAGGCTCAAGATCCCCCCACCTCAGCCTCCCGATTACAGGCGTGCACCACCACACCCAGCTAATTTTTTGTATTTTTAGTAGAAAAGATGGGGTCTCACTATGTTGGCCAGGCTGGTCTCAAACTCCTGACCTCAAGTGAGCTGCCTGCCTCGGCCTCCCAAAGAGCTGGGATTACAGGCATGAGCCACCACGCCCAGCCCCGTGTTTTGTGTATGTATTGTTTTAATCCTTTTGAATTTATTGAGACTTGTTTCATGATGTAGTATATGGTCTATCTGAGGAATGTCCTAAGTTCCCTTGAGAAGATGAGATGTTATATTGTTGCAGGGTGCAGTATTGTATAGATGTCAGCGAAGCCACATAGGTTGATGGTGTCATTCAAGGCTTGTAGATTCTTGCTGATTTTGTCTTGTCCTCTTCATTATCAAAGAGTAGAGTATTGAGGCCCGTCGTGGTGGCTTATGCCTGTAATCTCACCACTTTGGAAGGCTGAGGCGGGTGGATCACCTGAGGTCAGGAGTTTGAGACCAGCCTGGCCAACCTAATGAAACCTTGTCTGTATGAAAAATACAAAAAATTAGCTGGGCGTGGTGGTGCACACCTGTAATTCCAGCTACTCGGGAGGCTGAGGCTGGAGAATTGCTTGAGCCTGGGAGGCTGATGTTGCAGTGAGCCGAGATTATGCCACTGCACTGCGGCCTGGGAGACAGATCGAGACTCCATATTAAAAAAAAAAAGTATAGTTTTGAAGTTTCCAGCTATTACTGCTGAATTGTTTATTTCTCTCATTGTCAGTGTTTGCCTTAGATATTCTGGAACTGTCTTAGGTCTGTACATTTATATTTGTGTGTCTTCCTGATGAATTGATTATTTTCTCATTATAAAATGCTATGCGTTTTGTCTCTAGTACAATTTTGTCTTAAGGTCCATTTTGTCTGGCAGTGGCATGGTTACTGCATACGTGGTGTACTTTTTTCAGCCTATTCATGTCTTTAAAGTGTATCATTGGATTTTTCTTTTTTTTTAGACAGAGTTTTGCTCTGTCGCCAGGCTGGAGTGCCACGGTGCAATCTTACCTTGCTGCAACCTCCGCCTCATGGGTTCAAGCGATTCTCCTGCCTCAGCCTCCTGAGTAGCTGGGATTACAGGCATGCACCACCACACACAGCGATTTTTTGTATTTTTAGTAGAGGCAGGGTTTTACCATGTTGGTCAGGCTGGTTTGGAACTCCTGACCTCATGATCCACCCCCCTCGGCCTCCCAAAGTGCTGGGATTACAGGCGTGAGCCACCGCCTGGCCTTGCCTTCACTTTGGATTGTTTTGCTATATGTAGAATTCCTGGATGAAAAGTTTTTTCTTCACTTTGAATACATCATCTCACTGCCGTCTGGCCTCTATTGTTTCTGATGAGAAAACAATTCATCTTATTGTAGCTCTCTTGTACGTGCATCAAACTATGTTTTTTCTTTTTTTAAAAAAGGCTCTTTCTCTGTCACTCAGGCTCAAGTGCAGTGATGCAATTATGCAGTAGTAAGCTATGGCTTACTCCTGTAGCCTCAAACTCCTGGGTTCAAGTGATCCTCCCACCTGGGCCTCACAAAGTATTGGGATTACAGGCATGAGCCAGCATGCCCAGCGTCTTATTGGTTCTTCACATATTTTTTCTGCCTCATTTCCTCCTTCTCTTCTGGCACTGCTATTACTCATACATTGGTTCACTTGACGGTGCCCCATAGGGTCTGAGGCACTGTTCATTTTTGTTATTATTGTTTATAAAGACAAGGTTTTGCCGTGTTGCCCAGGCTGGGCTCAAGCAGTCTGCCCACGTTGGCTTTCCAAAGTGCTGGAATTACAGATGTGAGCCACTGCATCCAGCCCAGTAGTTTTCCATGATTAAATGCTTTTCAATATTTTTTTCCCTCGGTCAATTTCCAGAGTCCAGAAATAGATGTTTTTGACAATTGTGTCCAGTTTTATTTCAATTTGTTTTATTTTCAAGGAGACGAGGTCTCACTATGTTGCTCAGGCTGGTCTTGAACTCCTGAGCTCAAGTGATCCTCCCATCTTGGCCTCCAAGAGTGTTGGGATTACAGGCGTGAGCCACCGCGCCTGGCGTGGTGTCCAGTTTTATTGACAGTTTTTTTGGGAGGGGATTTGTCGAGCTCCTTTGACATTCTGGAAGTCTAATCTCCTTTCTTCATAATGACTGTGTTGTGTTTCATATGTTGGCTGTCCCACTGTTGGTTGGTCAGTCCCCAGTTGATGACTGTGTAGGTTGCTTCTACTTTTTCCCAGGGAAAGCCTTCTGCACTGAGCCCCCCAGCCCTGGCTCTTCAGCAAGCTCTTCCTGAGCCCTCTCCTACGGCCTGGGGTCAGAGCGGCCCGAGGCTGAGCCTCTTCCTCACCCTTCAACTCTGGTTTCTCAGGGAAGACACTGCTCAAGGTGGCAGAAGCTGAAAAGCAGCTGGGAGCTGCGGAAAGGGATTTTATCCACACGGCCTCCGTCAGCTTCCTCACACCCCTGCGCAACTTCCTGGAGGGGGACTGGAAGACCATCTCGGTGAGGGCCCTAGGACTCCTCTGCTTCCTGGTACCCATGGCAGTTTCTTCCGCAGAGCCTTTGCAGACAGGCTCTCTTCCCATGCTGGGCCTACAGAACTCCTAGGTCCTCCCCAGAAAGGGCCTCCCCAGAGTGACCTTCTATCTCTGGGCCTCAGTTTCCCTGTCTTGACTTGATAGTCCCTGGCGCCAATCTTGCCTTACATGGCTCAGGGTCTCCCAGGGCAGCCCAGGGTCTCACTGTCCCCATGCCCCGCCCCGCAGAAGGAGAGGCGGCTCCTCCAAAACCGGCGTCTGGACTTGGATGCCTGCAAAGCGAGGCTGAAGAAGGCCAAGGCCGCAGAAGCCAAAGCCACGGTAGGTGTCCCCACTGGCCTCCTGGCCCCCAGGCTCTGGCTGGAGCCAAGGGGCAGGGCATGAAGGGACCTGATGTTTGGCATGACCTCTCTCCCTCTCCCTGGCTAGAGATGCCTGGCTGGGGGCTGCTGGGCTGAGCCTCTCTGTCCCTGCCCTCAAGGGAGCCTTGGTGGCCCCCGAGCTCTGGGTCCTGGGAAGACACTTATGGTGTGGACGGACCAGCAGTGCCCCCAGCTGGGTGCAGGCACCCCACCGCTGCCCTGCCAGGCAGCTGGAGTCTCCTGCATGCCTTGCCCTGCCCTCCTAGATGCTTGGCTCTGTCCCTGGCTCTGCCCGGACATGGCACCTTCTTACTAACCCTACTACGTGCTGCTTGAACGTCAGGCCCAGGGTCTCTGTGCTCAGGCGCCCCCATGATGGTGTGGAGAACCTGGGAGCTGGACCGCCCGCTTGCTCAGGGCTGTGTCTGAGGGACCCTATCAGGCAGCCCCATGAGATTGGATAGGGCTGGGGCCATACAGTGCCCCCTTCACTCCCAGCTCACTGAGGCCTGTTCAGTCTGGCTGGGTCAATGGGACGCAGCCTGGGACAATGTGACCGTGGCGAGGCCAGGATTGGAGGAGCTGGGCCCAAGCTCCTGTACCCTCCCGGCACACCAGGTTGCTCGGCGGTTCAGGGCCTAAAGGCCACCTCACATTTGCGGAGGGAACTCCCAGGCCCAGGGCCTGCTAGGGAGATGGCTACTGTGGCTGCCGGCTCTTGGGCCGAGGGAGGCCAGGCCCAGCCTGGGCTCACAGCTGCCCTCAACAGTCCTGGGCCCAAACCTTCCTTGGGTTCCCCTCCCATGGTGTGGCCCGAGCCTGCACGGCCCCTGGTGAGAACCGTGCACAGAGTCTCAGGTCACTCAAGTATGTGGGCTCTAGATTGGAGGCAGGGGTACAGCTGGTGTAATCTTGGGGTTGGCTAAGTTGGCCTGTGCCTACTGGGATGACGTCTTCTAAGTCACCTGAATGGGACAGTCTTCCCCGTCATTCAGGGCCATACAACATCTCGGAGTAACTCAGCCAGAACACACTCTTTCTCCATCAGCCAGGCCAGGGGGCCTTTCCTGTCATTGCAGTGGTGTGACCTCTCCCTTGCCTGGTGGGCCTGGACAGCCTCACATCCTGGGGTTGGGCCAGGCCACCCTTTCCAGAGCTAGGACCTGGGCAGCCCCGGGAACAGCCTCCCAGAGGACTCCGGCCCTGCAGCTCTGTCCCCATAAGCACACACACATCAGGACTCTTCAGGAGGGCCGGCTGTGTGGCTCCCTCTGCCCGGCCGCCCAGTGTCCCCTCCCACTGGGGCCTGGGGTGCCTGGTCCTGCCTGTGCTGTGGACTCACTAACTCTTTGTTTTTGTTCCTTTCCGTCCTGCTTTGGGTAACTTGGCTCAGTGTGAGGGAGATGTGAGTATACCTGCCCCACGTGCTGTGCTGCTTCTGGTCTGCCCATCTTGCCCGTGGGCCCATGATGCCGTGGCCAGCCCACGTCCTTGGGGCATTTTGCAAGCAGCTGGTCTCCCTGCCAGAGCCTCCACTGTGCAGGGCCTCTGGTGGAGAGGTGCCAGGCGTTGGGGCCTGTGAGTCAGCTTTTTGCAAATGTTGAACGCCTGTCACTCTGTCTGCCCATGCATCCATCTGTCCACCCTCATTGTCGGGAGGGGGCCTGGCCCTCGATGCAGGCGCGAGACATGGTGTGCGGATTCTGGGATGGAAAAGGCCATGGGGAGGGTGGGCTGTGTTTGGGGGACTCTGGGGAGGAGGGGGCTGTGGCCATGGCAGGGGAGAGCCCTGCCTGTGGCTTGCTTAGGCAGCCTTGGCCATCTCCTCACCGCATCTGCTCTCCTGGCTCCAGTGCCTACAGCCACTTGGTCTTTGCCTGGACTCTGCAAGTCCCTAGGCCCCCTCACCTCCAGGTGGTTGTAACCGGGAGAATGGGGTTTGTGTTGTATCACCCTGTCCCTGGGGTCAGGCCTTCTGGCATCTCCTTGTCCAAGACTCTGGGGTAGCCTCCTGGCCTCGACCCTTGCCCTGGCCCAGGGTGACCCCCTCCCCCCATGAACTCTGTTCCCCGCCAGACGGTGCCTGACTTTCAGGAGACTAGACCTCGTAATTACATTCTCTCGGCCAGCGCCTCCGCGGTAAGCGCCCCCACCCCCACCCCACCCTCGGCCTCCTCTCTCCCCACGTCCCCCCACGCCACTGCCTCTGACTGCACAGGAGCTAGAAGCCAGTGGGTAAGGTGGGAACACTGCCATGTGCTCGGGCCAGTCCTGAGATGCTGGGAAGGGGCAGCAGCCCCCACCTCTGTCCACGTCCTGGCCCCGGTGCCCTGTGGCCATGGGGCTGGACTTGCTTCCCCCTGCACAACACCGGAGCTGGCTCCAGGGCCAGCCGCACCAAGTAGCGTGGAGAACTCAGGGCGGCAGCTGTCCCATCCCCAGGCCCCTCCACCTCCCACTGTGTTTGAATGCCAGGCCCTGGACAGGCCCTGAGGATAGAGGCGGCGGCCTGGTCTTGCCTTCTTGGTGTTCACAGACCCCTAAAGACAGGAGGCAGTGCCGGCCATGCCAGCCTGGATAGCGCCTGGGGGGCAGGAGTGCCTGAGGCTGTGCCAAGGCCCAGAGGTCCTGGAGCAGGCTATGTCTTGTCCTGAGGAGGCTCAGGCAGGGCCCCTGGGGTGGGGGTGGGGAGTCAGGGCAGGAGGTGGGGAGGATGGGATCGTGGAGGCTTCGCATGTCACAGTGTATTGGTTTTTAAGCTTTCTTGAGATGTCTGGTGTTTCCTGTATAGTTTGGGGATTAGGTGACACCTCTCCCTCTTGCTTGTCACCACTGCTGCACCTTGTCTCTGCCTCTGCCTCTCTCTCTCTCCTTCCTGCCCCGGGGTGAGACACTCACCTCTGTTGTGAGCATGCTGTCATGTGTCTTTTGTGAGTCATTCTGTGGCTGGGTGACTGTCCCTCAGGGCACCAACCCTAGTTGGGTCTCACAGCAACTTTCATACCCCTGGACAGGGACTTCCTAAGTGGCACGGGAGCCACACGGGCTGGCCACATGCACTGGTGTGGGTCCAAGTTTCTTATTTCATGCTGTGGTCTTGGGTCAGATCTCTGGAAGTGGCAGGAGCGCTGGGTCTCCTGGTCGTGGCCGGGCAGGATCTTCCTTCTTTAGGGTCTGGATGCCACTTCCCACTCCTCCCTGTGCCCCATGAAAAGAGAAACATCCTAGAAAGTGGAGACTGCCCTGTTTTTCTTTTGCCATCGAGTCCAAGTGTGACTCAGGCATGAGGCTGCCTTTCTCTGCCAGAGGACAGAAAGGTTCAGTGACTGGCCCAGGGTCACACGGTCCTGCCTCCCAGGCCAGCAGCCCGAGCCAGCAGTCAGGACGGGGTGGGGGCACTCAGTCTCTCTTGAGACCCCTCTCAGGGTCTGGGCTGACACCATAGAAGAAATACAAGCAGGACTCTACTGGCTGCACCCCTCCTGCATGACGCATGTTACAGGGACTGGGACTGCCAGCCCCCATCTCCCATGCCGGGCCTCGGCCCAGTCTCAGCTCCTGTTTGGGAGGGTGGGGCAGAAGGGTGGTTGGGGCAGAAGTTGAGTCTGGGAGCTGGGGCAAAGCAAAGGCTCTGGGGTCCAGCTGTCCTCCTCTCCCCTCCCCGCTGGCCGGTCCTGTTGCGGTCTCCACAGCTCTGGAACGATGAGGTGGACAAGGTAAGTCGGGGCCTGGGGTGGCTGGGCTAGGGGAAGAAGGGGTGGCGGGGTACAGGCACACCTGCTGCTGTGGGGTCTGGTCTGTTTCTCTGCCCCACACCCATTGGGTTGGGGGTGGGGGCTACTGCTTTCCCTCCCCGTGCCTCAGTTTCCCCTCTGTGGGGAAACGTTTGCTCCACAGTACCCCGTGGCACACAGTAGGCCCTCAGGATGCACATGCTGGGTGGGTTTCTCCCATGGGTGATGGAGGGTCTGTCACCACAGCTGCCTGTGCCTGAGTAGGGCTCTAGCCTCTCTGAGATTGGGGCTCCAGGTATGAAGTCAGGGATAGACCCAGAAGGCTCTCTGCATTCCCAGGGGAAGGGGACAGGTGACTCCCAGGTAGCCTCCAGGGGAAGACTGAGGGAAGCTGGTGGGCAGTGCGGGTGCTCAGGGCTGCCCTGCCCTGCCTAGGCTGAGCAGGAGCTCCGTGTGGCCCAGACAGAGTTTGACCGGCAAGCAGAAGTGACCCGTCTCTTGCTGGAGGGAATCAGCAGCACTCATGTGAGTCTCTCCCCTCCCCCGCCAACCTTCACTAAAGCCTGCCCCTCAGCAGGTGTGCCTGAACCAAAAGGACAGCAGGAGTGCCCCAGAGCAGCCCTCACAGAGCAAGTCCCACCGGGGAGGGTGTGGGCACAGGGGCAGGGCACCCTGGAATGCTGGAGCAAGGTCTGATAGAGGACACAGGTGGGGATGGAATTTTTTGTGCCAAGAGGGGCAGGAGGTTAGAAGTCAGCCTCTGGCCTCTTCCCCACAGGTGAACCACCTGCGCTGCCTCCACGAGTTTGTCAAGTCTCAGACAACCTACTATGCACAGTGCTACCGCCACATGCTGGACTTGCAGAAGCAGCTGGGCAGGTGCGGCTGGGGCAGCACTGCTGAGCCCATTGGGGTCCTATGGCTCCCAGACCCCGTCTGTGGGCAGCATGAGCTCCCATGGGAAGTCCTGTGACACAAAGCCGGGTTGGAGGACTCTGCCGGAACCCACTCTGGGCCTGGGCACCTCATGTGTCTGAGGGTGGAGTGGCTGGCCTTGGTGACCACTGAGTCCCCTTGGGGACCTGAGGGTTTCTAGGGAATGCCTGGGTGGGGAGGATGGCAGGGCTCGGGGGAGGCCATCTCACCCTTCCCTTGCTTTGCTTCTCCCTTTGTGCTGCCAGCTCCCAGGGCACCATGTGAGTAGCCAGGGCTGAAGTGGGGCGCCTGGGGCTAGGGAGGGGCGTTTGCCTCTGGGGTCCCTTCTAGGACTCCGACCTGCTAAGATATACCTCCTTCTCTCCAGATTTCCAGGCACCTTCGTGGGCACCACAGAGCCTGCCTCGCCACCCCTGAGCAGCACCTCACCCACCACTGCTGCAGCCACTATGCCTGTGGTGCCCTCAGTGGCCAGCCTGGCCCCTCCAGGGGAGGCCTCGCTCTGCCTGGAAGAGGTGGCCCCCCCTGCCAGTGGGACCCGCAAAGCTCGGGTGCTCTATGACTACGAGGCAGCCGACAGCAGTGAGCTGGCCCTGCTGGCTGATGAGGTGGGCCTGGTGCCACAAGATGGGGCAGGAATGGGCTGGGTGAGGAGCAGCCTGGGAGCTGGGATCAGGCACACGGGGCCTGGAGGGGCCCTGGTGGGAAAGCAGGGAGCAGCGGGTTAAAGAGGGCGTCACCAGCCCTGAGGAAGCAATCCCTGCTCTTCTGGGTCTCCGTGGAGAGGTGAGATGAGTGCCACCACTGAAGGTGTAGCACATGCCACTGGCCATGGGGAAGTGGTAGCTCTGTCCCCACTTAGTCCTGGGGCCAGGTCCACCCTTGGTCAGGCTGTGACTGTCCTCTACTGCCATCTCTGCAGCTCATCACTGTCTACAGCCTGCCTGGCATGGACCCTGACTGGCTCATTGGCGAGAGAGGCAACAAGAAGGGCAAGGTCCCTGTCACCTACTTGGAACTGCTCAGCTAGGCAGGTTCCCTCCCAGGCCCCCCTGCCTGCATTCTGGCCTGGGCAGGAGAGGATGGCGCGGCCCTGCCACTTACCTTGTTCTTTGGTGGCACAGCTGCTCAGGGTGGGGAGAATTCACCCCATTCTGTCCCTGCCCCTGGTCACCTAGCTGTGAGGGTGCCTGAGGCTGAATGGCTTCCGCCCCTCCCCTAGTCTTGCTTCTGACCTGTGGCTCTGGAGCCCCCGCCCCTGCCTGCATCCCCCAGTGCCTCACCCTCCCGGCTGCACTCAGCACCTAGGCCAGGGTGGGGCCGCCGCAGGAAGCCCCGGGTGCACTCAGCGAGAGCCCTGCCTTGCACTTGCCAAAAGCTGCAGCAGGGGAATGCGGCAAGGCACACAGGGCTCTGGCAGCCCCTGGGGACTGGGCACTGCCCCTGGGAGGGGAGAGCCTGGCCAGGGCTGGGGTTGGGCCCGGAGCAGCATCTTCCGGTGCTATCCTCCCCTCCCACCCCTCACAGCTCAAGCCAAGTCTGGCGGCCGCAGCCTCCACCTCTCTACACTCACTTTTTATCTGGTGTTTTTACTTCTGCCTGTGTTTGCTTTCTAGTCAATAAAGCCTCCTCGTGTGCGAGTTAACCTGGGCTCCTGTCAGGGCCTGGCCTAGACGGTGGGAAGGGTAGCCTTGCCCTCTGCCCCACTCCTCCTGGGTGGGGTGACCCACAGAGCTAGCAGGGGCTCTGTGGCTGCCCCAGCTCTGAGTTGGGAAGTGCAGCCCCCCCCTATTTTCCATGAGGCTGAGGGCAGTGCTATTCCTGGACATGAAGCTGCCTGAGGAACATTTTATTCCAAAGAAAAAGTTTCCTGCCTTTGATTGTGGAGTGGACTGTAGAATGTGCCTGACAGTTCAAGCTCAAGAAGTGGGTGGTCGTCAGTGCTGTCTGCAGGTCAGGCATTTTGCCCAGCAAAATGTCCTGGTGCCATGGGTTCTCAGGCCATCCTCACTGTCCACATTTCATAGATGAGGGAAGGAGATCACCAGCAAGACAATCACCTCAAGGGACCACAGCAGGCAAGGGGCCGAGCAGGAACTGAAGCTCAGGCCAGCCTGATTCTAGAAATCCTAAGTGGTGGCTGTGTTTTAGATGACCCCTAGCAGGATCTAAGATTCTGACCGGTCCTGAGAAGGCCAACAGCTAGCAGGCCCCACTGTTGGGGCTCCTGAAGAGGGGATGGGGGGATGACAGGGGTATAGGGCTATAAATAGGAAGGCACAGAGCTTCAAGAAAGGCTACACCCAGGAATGAGCTCAGCCCACTGGACAAACAAAAGCAGGACCCGAGACAGGACCAGGGCAGGCCAAGGAAGGGAACAGCTGACACCACCTCCCAGCAACCTTCAGCCCAAGGACAGGAATGAGGGATGCTGAGTTGACCATCAGTCAATACCCTGCCTCCCCTGAGCCACAGCCCCACTCCCAGTTGCCTGGCCAGGGGAGTTTTCTAGGTTCTGAGAGCCAGGTTGTCATCCATGGGCTTTGAGGTTAAATATCACAGCTGTCTATAAACAGGATTTTAATATTTGTATAAATAGACCACAGTATTACCAAAAAACTGTAAGGACAGAGCGTGGAAAACAGATTTTGAAATCCGTGCATAGAGCCCTCTCCTGGGCTGCTGCCTGTCCCGTCCGGCTGTGCTGCAGGGAATGCTGGAAGGGCAGGAATGCTCCTCTAGGGGGCGTCTGCAGCGTGAGGGCCTGAGCACAGAAGACTCGGCTCCCCACGCCTGCTGTTGACCTCTTGATCTATTATAAAAATAACGTCAGCGGGCAGGTAGTTCGAGTCGTGACTACTGGGGAAGGGGGTGACGAGGTGCCCACCATCGTATAGGACCTGGCAGCTGGCAGCACCCCCACTGCTCAGGGTGCAGGGTGGGCTGGAGAGCGTAGGTGGGCACACAGCACTACCCTATCTTTGCACGTGCCGGACAAACGCCTGTACCAGCTGGATCAGAGGCTCCTGACTCTCAGGGCTGGCTTTGGAGAGAGAGGTGGACTTTCCCTGCGGTGAGGGGAGGACCCCAGTGGCAGGGGAGCTGGGGGCTCCCCGGCGGAAGTAGCGTGAGAGGCTGGAGAGCAGCGTGCTCTACAAGAAAAAAAATCAGCTGATGAGGCTCAGCACATCTAGGCACTGTTCCCAAGCCTTGGGGAATGCCAGACAGGATCCCACAGGGCTCTCTTAGCCCCCTCCAACCAGCCCTCCGTATCCATCCGTACCAACTCAGAGCTGAGCTCCTGCTTCATCCGCTGTTTGTCCCGGGGGTGCACAGCTGGGTCCCTAAGGTACCGCATCGCCTGGGAGATGAGCAGGTAGAAGCAGTTTTCCATGGTAAACATCAGGAGAGACCTAGGAGGAGAGGCAGGTTTTTGGCACTGCTGCAGAGGGCCAGGCTGGCAGGGGCAAGCCATTTAGCCAAGAGAGTAGTGAGCCCATGACCGCCCCAGCCCCTTATCAAATCCTAGAAAAAAGGCTTACTTTAACGTCCTGGTCCCTTCTGCCTGTGTGCTGAGCCCCACTGCCTGGGTGAGAGGCTCCTTTTTCTTGTCCAGCTGAAGAGAAGCAAGGGTAAAAAACTAAGACAACAGTAACAGCCCCACTTACTGACAGCTTCCTACTACCATGTCCTGTACTACGCAAATCCCATCAGTTAGCTCATTTCATCCTCACAGTAATTCTCAGGGTGCTGTCATATTTAGTTTATGGAGAGGAGCAGGCTCAGGAGGCTAGGTACCATGCCCAAGGTTGGCTGGGAAGTGGGAGCTGGGGGAGAGGACAGCAGCTGACAGCACCAACTTACCTCTCCAAGCATGTTGAGGGCCACATTCACTGTGGCCAGAAGGGTCCCGAAGGAGGGGGCCACTTCGGAGTCAAAGGTGGGAGTGGTAAAGCTCAGGGCAAACAGGAAGTTGTATTCAGCAAGGTCCAGGGACTGCAAGACAAGAGCCACCAAGGACCCAGTTAAGGCCCCAGGTAGCTCTCTGTGCACAGCAGAGCAGAGCTGTTAGGGGAGGTGGTGCTGAACCTGTGACGGCCAGTACCTGATCTAGCAGGATCTGGCAGACATCCGGGGTGAAGTGGCGCAGCGCTGCCAATGTCCTGCTGAGGATCTTGAGAAGGCCATACTGAACTGTGTGCAAGGCCCGCTGCTCTGATGCCTCTGTGTCAGTGGCAGGCTGCTTGGAGGAGGAGGAAGAGGAAGAAGGGGCAGCAGAAGCAGCAGACGGTGGCCTCTGGACTCGCTGGGCAACGGCCGAGGGGAGGCCATCCCCATTTTTGTTCTGGGGAGAGTCAAGAAATGAAGGTGGAGCTGGGAATGCCAGAGTGAGGTATCCCAGGCCCTCACGGCGCAGGACGCGTACCTGTAAGTAATGCTGCAGCATCTTTCGGCTGTGCAGGAGGGAGGTGCATGCCTGGCACAGGTAACCCAGGTTGACCTGGCAGAGACACAGCAGGGATATGAGGGGATTCTCTTGACAGCAGCCCAGCCACCCAACTAGGTCAACCCAGCAGCTCTCCACGTAACACCCACGCGCTCCTCTCACTGCTGCTCTTCCCCACCTCCCTCATGCTCCCTTGGCCACTCTTCCGCTTAAAGCCCTTATAGCCGCCAAGTACTCAGGGGCCAGCAGGGCTCAGGACTGGACTGTTGCCCTGGGACCCAGCTAGGTGCCTGGTATATTTTAAGATCCTAAAATAAAGAAGATGAGGATTACAGCTGATTCCATTTCTCAGGAAAAGAATAAAAGCTTACAAATTGTGGTATAGTGACTTGGCCAAGGTCATAAACCAGCAGATGAGAGAAGCCTGCCTGGAGCTCGTCTTCTTTCCCACCCCTTCTCCAGCTGCTTCCCAGCTCCAGGTGTGGTTTGGTTTGGTTTGGTTTGGTTTTTGAGACAGAGTCTCCCTCTGTTGCCCAGGCTGGAGAGCGGTGGTTCAATTTTGGCTCAATGCAACCTCTGCCTCCTGGGTTCATGCAACTCTCCCGCCTCAGCCTCACAAGTAGCTGGGACTACAGGCATGTGCCACCACACATGACTAATTTTTGTATTTTTAGTAGAGATGGGGTTTCATCACGTTGGCCAGGCTGACCTCAAACTCCTGACCTCAGGTGATTCGCCCGCCTCGGCCTCCCAAAGTGCTGGGATTATAGGCGTGAGCCACCATGCCGAGCCCCAGCTGTATTCTTAAGGTATCTGAACCAAGGTCTAACCGATAAAGTCCAAGTTCTTAAATTAACTACATGGCTGCCCTTGACTATGGAAGGAAACATTTAGCCAGAGTAAACACATGACACCAAACCCTGTGCTCCCCAAGTGAAAAGCCCACCTTCAGGAACATCCTGCAATTCACTAGGGGTGCCCCAGTGAGAGCTCACAGCCTCCCTGCCTCCAAGCATTACGCCAGACTCCAACACACCATCTGAGGCCCCCACCTGGATATCACGCATGAGCTGAGGCAGGTGGAAGTGCCACTCCTTCATGAAGTTGGAGAGCTGCAGAATAAAGCCCACGGTGTGGTCCGCCTCCTCCAGGCAGGCCAGACTCTGCACTGTCCTCACTGCATTGAGGCACTGGGGGGATAGGAGACATCAGGGAAGGATGGGGTTGGCTGCGGGGCCTGACATACCCACACCTGCCCTCCTGTGGAGAGGAAACGTCCCAGGCTCCCAAATGCTGAGGTGGCAACACAAGAAATGGTTGGTGGTACAACGAGGATTCTGACCCAAGACTGTTCTCATCTCTCAGCAGACTGGCTGGCCAGTGAGCCAGCAGAGTACTGAGGGCATCTCAGAAATGAAGGCATCGACACCCCCCCTGCTACTGAGGCCCAGGCTCCACACCCACCTGTCCCATGAATGGCCCAGAACCTTTTTTACCTTGAGACTCTCACCCTGTGATACAGGCAGCCCCTCACCTGTAAGGTCCGCTCTTGGTGGACACCCACGAAGTCCAGGGCCTCGGTCAGGAAATTGTAGCGCAGAGTTTTGAGCAGCCGCTCCATCAAGGACATGGATAGGCGGTAGACTCCTGGCCAAGAGGGGGCATCCAGGGACTTCCGAGAGGCACCAGGTGTCTGAGACACAAACAGCAGAGAAGCTGAGGAACCCTGCTGACAGGCAGGGCCTCCCTGCAGTACAGCAGCTAAGGGAGGAAAGGATCTCTCAGAATAGACACAGCCACTGCCTGGCGACCAGGGGCCAAGGCCAGCAGATGCAAGGAAGAGCACCAGGCAGACACAAGATCCAAGGTTCCAGGCTCCAATCTGCCACTCACTAGCCATGTGAATCTGGACATGTCACTGCCCTGCTCTGGACCCCACATGCTTCCTCTAAGGGGTAGCTGGGCTAGATGACCAAATACTTAATGACTCTTATGAGAGTGAGAGGTTCAGATGACTACTCTTTTGGAATTAGGAGGCATCTGTTAAACTAGAAATAACCAAGGGACACAGAGGGCAGGGTGCTGAGGCCCCCTCAAGCCCCCACACCGCCCGCCTCCCTTCTCCCAGTCCTAGTCTGGTGGGGCAGGGGTGGAGAGGTCACAATGACACACTGTCTTTAGGAATGACAGGGATGACA